GATAATGCTCTCTACTCTGCTCTGTTCTTAGCTAGCTTTTTTAGTTCGATGTAACTTATTATCCCTGTCTCGGAGATAATTTGACTGACAAATTAAGTTCTCGGACGTCTTTGGTCCCTTTTACTTTCAATTATCCTTTCTATTATTCTATGGGTTAGTTCATTTCCGTTGTTTATAAGTCAGAGGCGTATTTGGGGGGGGGCGATCGCTCCCCCCTGAAAACGTATTTAAGGAATTTTTTCAATGTGGATAGTTTTGTAACGAAATCAAATTACGCGTGGCTATGAATACTGAATTGGGCTTTTTGTCGGGTCCATATTTAGTGAAAAATCAAATAAAACACAAGCGTAACTTTCAAAACTCAGACAGGTGTTAAAAAATAACTACACAAAAGTCGATTCTAAGTGAATCTGACATAAGATTAAAAAAAAAAAAAAACAAATATTAGGATTCACCCAATTTAAATATTACCAAAATTTGACTTGTACATTTTGAGCCTGAATTAAAGAAAAATTTTGAGTTGCCCCCCCTCCCACCTAGAAGTAAGTCTAAATATGCCCCTGTTATAAGTCCTAAATAGGGGTTAAATAATCCAGATTGGAGTAGAATCCCTAGAGTTATTGTGGTATTATTTTTCTCATACCTTAATTTTACATTCTGTGTAAAAAGAGTAACAAAATGGTTTTACAGACATTTTCTTTAATTAAATTTATGAATGAAATAAACTCCAAATGTTACGCAGCGATATATATTTTTTTTTTTTAACAAGAAATTGAAAGAATCGATAGTTGCGGACAGGCTTTTCTAATTTTTAAACTTAATAATATCATTCCTTTTATTACTAGGCATTTAATCTATAAATATATATAAACATAAATTTCACTTTTATGAACACTTAAATGATACTATCATTTATTTATCATTTAAAATAATTTATTAATTATCAATGATTATACCGTAAGTGTTTAAAAAAACTATTTAATATAATAATTCTCCACGGGTAAAATAAAATTAAAATCAAATATATCATAAATGTTAATTATTAATTCCACCAATCCACAGCAAACATACATATCTCTATGTATATAAAAATGAATTGCTGTTCGTTAGTCTCGCTAAAACTCGAGAACGGCCGGTCCGTTTTGTCTAATTCTTTTTGTATAATATTCCTTGAAGTACGAAGATGGTTCTTATGGAAAAAACATTTTAAAATATTGCCTCAAAAAGTTTAAAAACAACATTTTTTATATTCCCATACAAAAGATTAAAAAAAAGTAAAATTAAAAGTCAATTAGAACTATTAACATATAAAATGGATTTAATTGTTAAACATTGTGTGTTTACATTACGTATGAGGACACACTGCTGGATTTATTCTGTAGTGGCAGAAACATAGATTGCCGCATACACACTTTTTGATTTGGTTGATTGAAAATATTAGGTCAAATAAAATTGATGAATTCATATCAGCTGAAATTCCTAATAAACAAGTAGATCCTGGCTTGCATGAGGTATATATCAAAAACATGATACATGGTGCATGTGAAACACTTAATCAAAATATACCGTGTATGGTAGATGGTAAATGTTCAAAGCGCTATCCACGAACATAAACATCGAAAACAATTACTGGAAATAATGGTTTTCCACTCTATCGTCGGCGATCACTAGCAGAGAATGGAAGATTGACAATTGTTAAAATAATTCAACAAGCTTTAAATAGATAATTGCTGGATTGTTCCATATTCACCGATGGATTTGGTGCAGAGAATTCGAATGATGGAGTAATCCAATACCAAATGGGTCGTTATGGTAGCAGTCATGAAGCATTTTGGCGAATTTTTTTTTTTTCTAATTCATGAAAGACACCCCACAGTTATTCACTTAGTCGTGCACTTAGAAAATGGACAGAGAGTATAGAGATGTATTTTATAGCTCAGAATGCAGTAGGTGCAGAGAGCTCACCAGCCACCATCTATTACCTTAACCATTTTTTTTCGAGACGTGCCAAAATAATAATTTCGCACAAAAACTGTTATATTCTGAAATGCCAAAATATTATACTTGGAATCAATCAAAAAAAGAAATTTATGCGAAGAAAACAAGGAAAACCAGTTCTAGGTTACCCAGGTGTATATTCAATCGATGCAATAGGTCGAATTTATTCCGTTCATCCAAACAACGATGAATGTTTTCATTTACGACTGCTATTAGTTAATGTACGTGGCCCAACATCATTCCAACATTTACGAACAATTCATGGTGAATTTTACGGATCTTACAGAGAAGCCTGTCATCATTTGCAACTGTTAGAAAACGATGCACATTGAGATCAAACTCTCAATGATGCTGTAATTTCATCACAAGCTCATCAAATACATTGTTTTCCATTATCATATGTACATGCTTCCTATCAAAACCAATTGATATGTGAATAAAATTCTAAGATGATATGTGTGACGATATTTTATTTAATATACGCAATAGAACAGGGAATCTGAATTTACAAATAAGTGAAGAAATTTACGATCAGGCATTGATTTCTATTGAGGATATGTGCTTGATGATGTCAAACAAGTTATTATATCGATTGAGGATGGCTGTGCCCAATCGCCCAATGCATAATGCTTTTCATCATGAATCACAATGTGAAAAATTGTATGATCTCAATATTTTGAAAGAATCGATTCAAATAAATCTTTCACTATTGAACGAAGAACAAAAGTATGTATTTGATACTCTTGTGAAAGTAATAAATGATGGAACTGGAAGGATTTACTTCTTGTACGCTTCTGGTGGTATAGGAAAAACTTTTTTGATTACTTTTATATTGGCAAAAATTCGCTCGAAAATTGAAATTGCTCTAGCTCTTGCTTCATCAGGCATCGCAGCAACTTTGCTTGAAGGAGCTCGAACAGCCCATTCAGCTTTAAAACTGCCATTGGATAGGCAAAGCAACAAAACTACAACCTGCAACATTTCCAAAAATTCGGCAATGGCAAAGTTTTTGCAGCAATATGAACTAATAGTGTGGGATGAATGCACGATGGCGCATAAAAAATCTTTAGAGGCTTTAGATAGAACGCTAAAAGATTTACGGAACAACCAAAACTAATTTGGTGGCGCAATAATTTCATTATCAGGAGACTTTTGCCAAACATTACCAGTGGTTCCACGTTCAACGCAGCTGATGAACTGAATGCATGTTTAAAATCCTCCAATTTGTGAAAAAATGTCAAGGTATTACCTACATTTAAACTAGAATATTCGTGTCATGTTGCAAAATGATCAATCTGGAGACATATTCTTTAAACAGATCATTGATATTGGTAATGGAAAATTCCCTATAGATGTGTATTTGATGTAGTATGAAAATCACAATTTCAATTTCCATTCGACCATTCCACGTTTTCAAAAGTATTTCATCAGTCGTCATCGCGGTTATAGATAGTCTTATCTATACTAATGTACTGATAAATTGATAATGTCTGCCGGGACAGGAGCGTCTAAACACAGGAATGCACCTTATGCATTCTGCGCATGTGCGTAATTTATTCACCACAATCATGTTAGGTTGTTATCAATATATTAAATCAAATTACTATAATACGATAATATTATAATATGAGTTTTGAATCAAACTATTAAAAATTTGAACATACTAATTACGTATTTTACACTTTTTTTTGTGCTTCGACCATTTCAGAAATATATCATTATACATACCAGATACATTTGAAAAAAAAAAAATCAAAATACCAATAACTATCTAATATGTTAAGATGGGTTTTAATAATGTTTATTTATATCTACATTTACCCAATTACCTATTTGAACATTTCATAAACCAGACTTTATCAAAATGTATAACACAAAGGCTATTTACTAAATGTTTTATTGAGTATTAACAAAACAATTCACAAACATCTTAAACATAAAAATTCAATATTATCTAATATGTATATTAACAGTGCTCGACTTGAGGGGGGGCGCAGGCGGACGGAGTACCCCAACTAATTTTCAGAAATTTTAGCGCCCCTCTACTATTATTACGCTATAATCATAACGCTCAGCCAGTTTTGGGGACGTCCTTTTTTTTTTTAAAGTAAATAGAGTCCCCCTTCTTTAATTTTGCCAAGTCGAGAACTGTATATAAATGACATTATCTTAATAGTAAGTACAAGTATGAATAATTAAAATCAACTAGTGTAGTGTGCCGAGTTGTGAGTTCAACACCGTTGCACAGTATTAGGATGTAAGGATTTTAGAGTTAGATTAATAACTTTATCAAGAATACTTATAACGGAATTACTAATATTTTACTTAACACTCTTTAATATAACATCAACATAGACAAAGTAAATGATAGTAACAAATATAAGCAGAGCGTATATACTGGATACATTTGGTTGCTAATGCTCTTTTACAACTTTTTCCTATTCGAGATTTTGCGATTCGCACGTGGTTCATATTACTTCTGTTAATTTGCTAATGGTTATAATTGTAAATTGTAATTACGTAGTAACTATAAAATACATATGAAAAAATATAATGTATACATAGTACATTATACTAGAGTTGAAACTAAACATCTCAATAATATACTACTACAAAAAAAAAATTATAACGAAACTGAACATTATTATTTAACAACTAAAATAAAATGACAATATATTATTTATATAGAAAGTACGTAGTTAAATTTTGAATAGTTTGATTCATAACTCATATTATTATCGTATTATAGTGATTTGATATGATATATTGATAACAGCCCATTGAGTAACTCCTTAGAACATATGATCTAAGAGTAGCTCTATGTAACAACTTAACATTAAGATAATGGAATAAATTACGTGCATGCGCAGAATGCTTAAGGTGCATTCCTGTGTTTAGACGCTCCTGCCGGGACTGTGCTGTAGTCTGTGGTAGTCGAGCTATCGATCAGCTGTTTTTAATTTTGATCAATTCTGTTCTATCATTTACAATTCTGGACTAATGTGTGTACTTATTATCTACCAATATAGTACTAGGTGCTTAACCAATTTGATTACTCTTTTAACTAGTCAATTTTCTACAAATATTATTTATACAGTTAAGACCGTTTTATGTTTCTGTATTTAATACTCTAAGTGTTGAAATGACATATATTTTGATTTTTAATTAGGTACGTCTATTTTTCGTGAATGTTTTTGTCAAAGCACTCCGTGTGTATTCATTGAGAATAGAATTCGTAAATAATTTTTCTTATTAATACAATTACATCTTAACTATGGAAGTGAACAAAGATGAGGCTTATCGATGTTTAGATCGTGCTCAATATTATATCAGTGAAGGTGACATCGAAAAAGCAGAAAAATTCATTAATAAAAGCAAAAGACTTTTTCCTACTTCTGATGCAGATGGTTGATATTTTATATTATTTTACATTTTAAATTATTTACTAAATTACTAGATAAATTATTTTTTTTACAGAACTTTTAAACAAATTAAAAAGTCAAGGAGCAAGAAAAAATTCTACTTCTAATGTAAAAGCTGATGGACAAAATACCAAGAAACGTAAAATTACACCACCAGGTACTATATTAACACATAATTAACTTTAGATCATTAGATAATATAAATTGTATATTATATATATATATATATATATTTATATTATAATAATAATTTTATGTACAGGTAGTCCTAGATCAGATAGAGCTAATCAGCCTACGTATACAAAAGCCCAGTTGGACATTGTTAAAAAGTAACAGCATATATTTATCAGTACTTAACTACTACATATTTGGATGCATACATATATTGAATAATAATAATAATAAAAAAAAAAAATTAGTTAAAAATCATTGATGGATATAATTTCTTAATATTTTTTAAAATCTGAATAAAATAAGAAATATATTTGTTAAAAATGTAATTTAAATTAATTATTTTATGATAAATAAGTGTACAGCAAAAATTATAAATAGCAAAGTTTTTTAATTAAAATTGAACATGATCAAGATAAACCATTGTTATAATTTTCTTAGTAGTTCTTATAATTTTTGGGGGTCAATGAAGATCATGTTAAATATTGTCCAAAATTCATTAATAAAATGAGTAGGTATTATTATTGTTAAAAAAATTGTATTTAATGCCATACCTAAGTTATTTTATTAGTACTTATGAATTAGAAATATAATTCTTACTGTTTAATTAAATTTAACTAAGAATTTTTACTATAGTTCTATTAAATTATCAAAGCTCTGAAATCTATACGATTCTATATTAATTATACAATAAACTTTAAAATTGTACATCCTAATTTTTATTTTATTTTTATTTATAGAGTTAACAATTGCAAAGATTTTTATGATGTTCTTAACATAAAAAAAGATGCTACTGATAACGATATAAAAAAAGCATATAAAAAGTTAGCCCTAGTATTACATCCAGATAAAAATCATGCACCAGGAGCAGCTGAAGCTTTTAAAAGTATAAAATCGTATGTGAACATTTTCTGGAATATTAATTAATTTTTTTTTTATGTTTCATAATTAGCTGTAGGTAATGCTGTTGCTACTTTGACTGATGCAGAAAAAAGAAAACGATATGATAAGGTTGGTCATGAAAGTATGACTTCTGATCACGTACATAGAAATTATGATCATGGGTTTGAATGTAAGTGGATTTTAAAAATTATAATATTAATTTAAATAATAATATAATATAATATATATATTTTTTTGTTGTTACATAAATTGTGTATATAAAGAAATAATTTTCTTTTAGCGGATATTACAGCTGAACAACTATTCAATATGTTCTTTAATGGAGCTTTTCCAACAAGACAGGGACCAATGACTAATCCATATTATACTCGATCATTTTCAAGGCGCTGGCCACCTGATTCTGACAATGACAATCATCATCAACAACAGGTAAGCTTATTTTATTTATTATAATAAATAATGAATATTTTTTTTAAATATAAATCTAAATAAAGAACCAGTAATATTTTAAATATTCATAAATTTAATATTAATAATTTCAAAATATGACTAAATACTTAATTCTATCAAAATCGAAAAATGTATGAATTTTTTTAGTGGTTAAAGTATATTAAGATAATTAAACACGTTTGACCTCATAGTATAAAGTTTTATAAATTTATTGAAGTATAAACAAATAAATAGATACTTTATATATAGAAATAAATATATAAATACTTAATTTGGAGTATAATTATACACGTAAAGTACGACCGGTTTCGATTTAAAAATGCATCATCATGTAAGTACAAAGTCAATAAAATCGCGTCTTTATTGGTTTAATTTTATTGACTTTGTATATATTTGGTGATGAATTTTTAATTTGAAACCAGTTGTACTTTACAAGTACAATTATACTCTAGATTAAGCGTTTATTTATTTATATAATAATTTATGAGTATTAACTATTTACTAATTTTTAATTTTAATTTAATTTTTTATTATTTTATTATAAATAACTTAGAAAAAAGTTTTGATAATAGCTAAATTTATTTTATTTTAAAATAATTTTGTGTATTTTTTATACAATGTCTTAAGTTTTTATAATTTACATTAAAAATTATAATTTTTTTTTTTTTTTTTTTTTTTTTAGTCTGATGAAATTCTTGAATCATCAATAGTATTACAATTTGTCCTCTATATTGGATCCATAATTTTAAATTATATTTTAAAAAAAATTAATTGATATTTTTAATAATATTGCTTACTTGATTTTTATTTGGACATTTTTTGATTAATTAAAAAATAAAAATAATTTTTTTTACAAAAATTTTAAATTATGGCATGATTTAAAATTAGTTACGAAGTTACCTGGAATAGTTATATGTTCTTAACTCAAGTACTTATTATATTATAAATAAACAATATTACATTTGATCCTTGTATCGACTTGCCTGTTGAAATGGTGGTTGATGTCTGAGGTATAAGATAAGGTGACCAATTTGTATTTTAAAATAATAATAACTTTTTCTTTTACTCACTATTGTTAATTTTATTTAAACTTTTTTAACATACATTAATACATGTATTTTGAACTATTACAAATGTTTAAAACTCTCTACATCTTATTGCATTGCCAATCTGCATAGTCTTTTATACTCGCCTTTGACCGTCTGTACCCAAAGACAATAAGAACGCATCTCTTTATAAACTGAGTTCCTTTATCTAATTTTATGTGTGTGTGTGTGCACGCGTATGTGTGTCTGTAATATTTTATCGTTATATTATTTATCTTTAATGGCTAAAAATTCTTATAATTATTTTATTATACATTAAATTTTAAAAATATATGATTGCTTACGCCCATATCATTACGATGATGTACACAAATTTTATTAATTTTAATAATAACTTGGGTGTATTTAATAGGAGTTTGCAACAATTTGATACATTAATATTGGCAACTTTTAAGTAAATTTCAATACTAAAATTGTATTATATTGTTATGTTTTCTAAATTTATAGTATATTTTGAGTAATATAAAATAGAAATTTTATATTATTTAATAATTTATCTCATGTCATCTGTATATATATTTCAAACTTTTTTAAAAGTTTCACAGAATTTTAAATTGTTTCTAAATAGATATTTTCCTTAAATAAATAATAATTAATATTTAACAGAAATAAATATAATAATCGCTATATGAATAGTTAATAAACAAATAATTTTTTGATAATGTAATAAAAATTTTATTATTTACATTATTGCCATAGTTGAAACAATAATGGTATTCAAAAAACATTACAGACCCCTAATATTTTGTAACTAAGAATTAATTATTGTTAATTAAAATTTTTAATTCATGTATCACCTTTTAAGAACAAATATTTTAATTATTAAATAAAATAGTTTGCTGTGTTTTGGTATGTCAAAAAAAAAAAATAAATAAATAACTAAATAAAATAAATAATAATAATAAAAATCAAGTATTCTTAAAGATGGTTACTCATTTATTTTTTACAAAGAAATAATACTTTAGAAGAGCTCAATATATTTTAAAATGTGAACAATTTAAAAATTGTTTAAAATATTCCAAATTAATTATTGGTTCATAGTTAAAAGATTGCTTTGTGTATATTTTATTTTTATTTTTAAAACTTATCTATTTAAGAACTATAAACATAGAATCTTTGATGATAACATTGTTGTTGGATTTTTGATTAATAAAATAGTATTTATTAAATACTTATAAAAATGTCTGTGCATTATTTTTATAATAATATTTTATAGACTATAATAATCTGATCAAAGCAAAGTAGAACCTTTTTATGTTAATATTTCTATAAAAAATTACTTATTATCTATTTGTACTCTATTACACAGTTATTTCTTGTGTTATTAATTTAATGTACACAAAAATGTGTCATAAATTTAGCATTATTAATTATTTTATAAAAATTTGAAACATAAATCTTATTCATAAAGTGTTTTTTAGATTAAATTCAACAATCAATATTTATTTTAATAAAATGACAGTATTGACAGTATTTTTATTATTTATTAAATTAATTGTTTGAATAAATTTTTGGTTTTGCAATGACTTAAGATTAAAATTTATGAGTTAACTTTTTCTTAGTTACACAATACATTTGAAAATATATTTTAAATTTGTTACTCGCCTGATGAAATAAATTGTTATATGTTGTAATCTTATAAATTTAATTTTGGTACTATAATAACCGTAGAAGAAATGTATATATTTAAAATATGTAAATTAGAAAAAAATTTAAAATATATAGAAATAAATAAATAAAAGCATCATCTGGATTATTATTATTATTAAATTTGTAAAGTTTGATTAGTTTAAAATTAAAATTTCATCATTAGGTATTTAAAACTTCCATAAAATTACAAATAAGAGACTGACTTTTATTTTTTTTCCTAATCAGAATAGAGTTACAGTTTTATTTTTTCATATTCAGTCGCAATTTTATTGACTTTATATACCTGATGTTGAAATTTTTATTCAGAATTGGTCATACTTTAGAAAAATAATAATACTTCAATCTAAGCTTTTATTTATTTATTTATTTATTTATTAATTTACAAGTATTAACCATTTAATAATTTTAAATTTTTATTTAATATTTAATTATTTTATGAACAATTTTTTTTTAAATTATGATGTTGGAATTTCTGTTTTTAATTGTGAAATAAAAATTTCTGATCTATACATTAAAAAAAAACAATATACTAATATAAAATTCATTTTAAGATATGATTTCCCATTGATTAATTACCTATATGTTATACATGTTAAGAATAGTTTAAGTCCAATTTGGTTACAATGTTGGAATAAGATGTAATTTTTGAATTATTGTTTTATCTTTAAAATGAATTTTGTAATTTGTAATTAGATTATTATCTTTTCTATCTTACAATAAATTAATAATTATTATATTATGTATTAACCTAGACTATCTAATATAATATGAGCGGTCTTTGAAATTTTTATATAGCTCTTATTTTTTTAAAAAAAAAAAGTTATAATTTTATAATTAATTTTTAATTCCTAAATGTTAGACAATTTTTATATCATATTATAGATATATTTATATCATACATACATTTATATTTTCATAAAATAAATTTTATTTATTTTTTAAAATTCTTAAAATTATTTAAACAAAGTAAATAGTATTTAAATACAATTATTTTAAACTAAATAGCAGTACTATCTATAATATATTTTATAAGGATTATAGTAACATGGTATACATTAAAATTTGTTGATATACACTTGCTTATTTAGGTTTCAGTGTTTAACCATTATTGTATTTCAACTGAAATTTGAATTTCTAATATAATATATTTTAAAAAATTCAAAATTTTTATTATTGAAAGTATAATAATATTTTATTTATTTGCTATTAAAATAATATATATTCTTTATTTTTTAATTTATAAATTTCATTATACTGACTATTTACATAGTTTTAATTAACTCAATATAATTTTAATATCATAAAGAACCTTTTTGGTGTAAAACAATTTAAACTGCTATTAAAAAAAAAGATATAGTTATTTAAGTCTTAAGTTAAATTAAACCATATTCTGTTTATGTTTAAACATTTAAAATTTGAATGTTTTAAAATATTACAATATGTATTTTATTACTATTCATGAGTTTTGGTTTTGATCGATAATTATTTTTCTGATAATTTATTAAACTTTTTAAAACTCATTCAGGAGTGACCAATCATATTATTTATTTTACCATAAACTTAAAATCAGATGCATTTTAAACATTACTTTATCTTATAAATACACCTTTTTAATTATTTAATTAATTACTCATTATTTTAATGAGGTAATATATTTTAATCTAATATCAGTCCTTATTATTTATATTATTTTTAATTTGAATTAGACTAATTATTGCTGATTTAAAATTAAGAACTGGTTGTAGTTATCAGAAGTATTCAATGGATAGTTTGTCCCTTCACAATATTTTGGTGGCAACCAAACTATTAAAGACATACTATACAATAATTATTAGTCAAAACATTTTGGCTAAGAAAGTTGCACATGTTTCTCTCTATTGCTGTTGCTTCACTGACCAACATTCGTGATGCTCCTTAGAGCTATGACTCTCAGTTTAAATTATTCTATATTTTATTGTAAACAGAAATATAAATTACTGTGTAAGGATAAAAAAAATATAGTATTCAGATTAATTTATTATTATATTTTAGTTAAAAATAAAAAGTTATTAGTATTTAGTAGGTACAGTAAAACCTAAATAACACAGAGCTTCGGTAAGACGGAAACCACGGTATTATGGAACATTTTTGTGGTCCTTTTTCAAATTACATATAATTAACTAACCCTGTCAAAACGGAAACCCCATTAACATGGAAAAATTTCATGGTCCTAAACGATTCTGTCTTATCGAGGTCTTACTCTATAACAAAACAACAAACACATTTTAATAAAACAATTTTACCATAGTTATAATTCTCTATAAAATTAATTTAGTTACCTGAAATGGCTGATAAATTGAAGAACCTTTTATTATCTTTTTAATATAAGCAAATATTTACTGAACTTATCTATAAAATTCTCTTACAATCAGTATAATATAATATTATGTTAATAGGAATCATCCAGTATATATTTTCAACTATTACCAATTCTTCTACTATTGTTGCTGTCATTATTTTCAAATTTTTCTTATGATCCTGTGTACAGTTTAAAACATTCTTCGTGAGTATTTCTGTATTTATTTATTTAACTTTTACCATATGGTGATTATGAAATGTATATTTTAACATTATTTCTATGTATTATAAACTTATTTAAATATATAAAAATATATTTTTTGTTTTTTAATTCAGAAAATATCCCGTTCATCGTCATACATCATTTAGAGATATTTCATATTATGTAAAAGATAATTTTCATACGGACTATACTGGTGATTTAAGACGTTTAGAGCATACCATTGAAGAAGATTATATAAATACAGTTCGCACCAAATGTATACGAGAAAAAGAATATTGTATGATGTATTTGAATTTTTTATGTATTCAATATTGTTACTAAAATTTAAAATATTTTAGATGAGTCCTTAATGTGGAGAGCACGCTTAAATGACGATTCTACCTTATTTAATAAAGCAAGTAAATACCAAATGAAATCTTGTGAAGAGTATCAAACATTAATGAAACAAAAGTATAAGTAAATTTATATTTTTATAATATTACTTATTTATGTTTTGTTTTATGTAAATAATCAATATAGATGTTTATGTAAAATGTGCACGGTGTGGAATTATCAATGAGCACATTTTACTAAATCTATAATATAAAAGTAGATAGAAATAGTAAAATGTAATATTCGTGTTTCAATAGCATTCTTAAAGTAGTACAATTATACAAAGTGTTTAGAATGTTCCACACATATATAATTAATTTTAATATTCTATGCTATAAAAACAAATATTTTTTTTTGTGTTTGAAAACAAAGTCCCCTAAGATTATCATTTAAAAATTAATAAATTTAGCTCATATTGTAATAATTCTATTGTTTTTTATTCAAATTTTTTTTTCTGGTTTAGTATATAAAAACTTATAATTAGTGTTGTGGTGTTAATACAATTTTAAGGAAAGATAAATTCTGAAACTTAAAATTATAATAATTATAATGATAATTTTATAAAAAAAAAAATAAATTCAATTACGATTTTTAATTTTTACTTTCAATGGCTAGGTTAATACTTAGTTAATAGTGAGTTTCTTTCACATTAAAAATGTTATTATATTACTTGATTTTATGTGTATGATAAACACAATAATTATTTTGCACATTGACAAAATATAAAATAATTGAAACAAAGCTGTTTAGGTTAACAAAAAACTAAATGCATTTTGAATTATTGTAAATGAACACATTAATAACTTGTTCAAGAATAACTAAATGTGTTAATTCCAATCATTTTTCTAGTGTTATGTTATCAATTTTATTTTTTTATCATAAGATAAAAATATTTAAAATATTTGAAATAATCATTGTAAAAGACACTAAATTGTTTTTTTATGTCAATATTGGGATAAAAGTTAGTTGTTAATTTTATATATTTTTGTTATCTATTAATTATTATATTCTATTGTATTCTGTTTGTTTTTAAACTACCTGGGTTTAACTAAAATATATTTAAAACTTAAAATATGATAAATCATTTTTATTATTTGTATTGGTAATTATTGGTCTTGAAAATATCTATAAAGAATTATACCTATTCTTTATATTTATATTACAAGACAATTTATAAGTATTATGTTACAAATGTACAATTTTAATTTAATGATTTTGAAATTAGGCATATCTTAAATAGCTTCAAGTAATGGTTTTTTTTTTTTTTGCTTATATGTTTTTATTTATATATTTGTTTTATTGTCATATTAATATGTTATTTAGTGATCTGTTGTTTAAAGATTATTTTTTTTATTGTATTAATTTAATAATTAAATGATATTTTTTTTTTTGAAAAATAATGTTTAAAAAACATTTTTTTAAACAATTTATCAGTTTTCATAGTATACTTGTATAAAACAAATAAATAAATAATCATTTTAATAAATTATAAGAAATAACTACAATTCATATAATTTATATTCTATTATAAAAAATGATTTTTGAAAAGTATTAATATCATGAATGCGGCATTAATAATATTATAATTTTGAAAAAAAATTATGTAATTTGTATTCTCTTATGTTTCCTATCATAATTTCCTATTAAATTTATACAGTTTATACAAAAAAAAAAAAAAAAGGTAAAATCTGGTCTTTAATAGTATTTAATAAATTTAAGTAAATTTATCCATATATTCTTTACCTATCAAACACTATCAATTTATTATTAATAAATAAATAAACAAATAGATTATATATAGAATTATATAAATAAATAAAAACCTGAAGATAAATTTTGGATTCAAAATCAGTCATACTTATAAGTATAATATTACATCAAGCTGGGTTTTTATTTAATTATTTATACATTAATTTACAAGTACATTTAATACATTTTTATTTTATTTTTTTATTATTTATTAATATTTAATATTACATAATATGGCTATAAGATATTTTTAGTATACAAGAATGTGTTACATATTCTATCTTCTTTTTAAACAAAATTTTTTAAAGTTGTTAATGAATAAATGTGTAATTTATGACAGATTTCGAATTAATAATACATCATCAGTTATATATGAAGTCAATAAAATTGCTACCGAAATGTTTTAAGTTACTTTTAATTTTTTGGTTTATATGTAGATTCCTTTTGAGATTAGTGATGAAAGCTGTTGATGAGTTTTTGATCTAATGATAGTTATTTTAATTCATTAATCATATGCATAACATCATTAAATTTAAGGTACATAAAAACTAATAAATTGTTGGCTAATGTAATTATTGTTTAGGATGGGTCGAACTGAAGTTTTCACAAACTCGAACCCGAACTCGGAACATAATTTTTTTCTCGAACTCGAACTTGAACTTGTTGGTACTTCGAACTATTTTCGATCTTTCGAACTTTGAAAAATTAAAACATTTAAAAGTTAAAACTTAAAAATTTGAGTTTTAACTAACTAGGTATGACAAACTAAAAAGTTTAATGTTATAATAGAAGTATAATTATTAAGTAATGTTATTATTTAAAATTTATTTCTAATTATTATATAACTTGTTAGTTATTGATTTATATTTTTTTATTAAACTAACTTTATGTATTATGTTCGAATTCGAACTTGCATATTTCTCGAACTTCGAATTGTTCGAATTTCTTAAAGTTCGAGGGTTCGAAGTGTGGGAGAACCTATCCCTATTATTTTTATTTATTTTATTCAAGCGATAAAATAGTCAACTGCTCATACTGTAACTGCACAAGTTTTTTCTGATTTAGTTTTATCACTTATTAACATTTTATAGCAAGCAAATCAAAAGCGTTCTCAGAAATTTTTTCAGGGGAGGGGAGGGTTTAATATTTTTACTATCACGTATTTCAAACGTATTTATTTCACAAGTTAATTTTGGTAATAATTAATTTAATAATACTAGATAGATTGACTATGGATTATTGTATTATCCATGGCAAATTTTTATAATATTAAATTTTAATTGTATAAAAATATGAAACAGTACTTTTTTCTAAATTTGTTTAAATTTCGGGGGGGGGGGGGTTGAACACTCAAACCCTACTATATCTCCTGACCTCGTCCCTGAAGCATATACACTATAAATTACTTTTTCATGTTGTACAAAAAAAAACGTTTAGTATTTCGTCTTTTATTATAATTATTCTTTTATAATTGTTCGTGGCTTCTCTTAGTGAAACAAATTTTATTTTCTGGACCACTTTATTACTAGATTTATTCAATTATTAATTTTTTACATTGATTAACATTTAGATCAAAATAGCTATTTCACTTTATGGAAGGTATTAAATGAGTGCCACTATTCACAAACTATTATTACACAAAGCTGATATTAAAAATCTTTACCTTTTCCAGTAAGAACAACTGTCAGAAAATGTATTAGAAAGCTTTCATAAAGAATATAATACATTAAGACAATATACATAACAATAATATCACTCGAGAAAAACTTCAAGAATCAATAATTCTTAAGAAATTGTTAGGTTTTTTATGTAAAAAAAATGATTATAAAATAAAAAAATTTAAGGAATAATTATTAATAAGAAAACAAAATATTATTAGAATGTATGCTTGTTTTGAAAAAAAACTTTTTTTTATAATCAAAATCGAATGAGATATTTCTAATAGATAGTAAATTAAGTGCTTACCTCACATCTACGCATAATTTATATACATTCACAAAGCTACACCTAGTAACCTAGTTCACCAGAATGATCTCTGAAACTACGGAATCGATGTTGATAAAATGTTGTACAGAGCGATAGATTAGATTTCGGAGAAGGACATATGCTTTTGTCATGAAAAATAAGAAAATAAAGCGTCAGTTCAACGGATAAAACCCGAACATGCAATTGTTATTTTATTGTTGTGCAATAATCGAAAAAACGAAAAGGAATCCCATCGTCATACACCTCAGTGTACATCTAGAACGTGTCCATTTTACTGAATATAATTTTCAAGAGCGACTATCTTCTCCACAAAAATTAACACTCACCACGAAGAATTTTCAAGAATTTTTATGTATGTTGAGGTACACTTGGAACACAACAGAAAGATAATGAAAACAAAAAATTCATGGAGTCCTGCTTCGAATTGGTCTGGTATCATATCTGGAGATGACTTAGATTTGAGTTTACACAGTTTATATTAGTAATATGGAATGATTCTGTTTCCTTGAGAATGATTTTACATTATGTACGTGGGTAGTCATGTATTTTTGGGTGGAAGGTTTGGTTTCCGGGTCTCAACCCTTCTTCTAGAAGAAGAAAAAGGTTCAAAAGTCATAAATGACTTGATACAAAGGTACATAGAAAGAGAACATTCATTTATATAATTTGGCTGTAAATAACTTATTTTGCATGTATAATAATAATAGAATAATATAATTATTAGTTCACCATATATATATTTTTTTATAATATTGTAAATCACCTATTTTTTAGAATAATTTAACTCCTCTCCTCCCAAAAAAATTGAAAATACGCTACTGTACATGAGTCAAACTCTTTCAAACATTTCGAAAAGCTCAATAATCAGGAATTTTTGATATTTCGAGATGCATGTAAGGAAAGAGGATGAAGGGCGTACCCATGGGGAGGGAGTTCGGTTCCGGACCCCTCCCCCATTGAAATTTCTACATACTCAACGATTTAATAGTAAATAGTATATAATAATAGTATATAGTGTATTTTAATTTCCCATTATCTTCAACAGACAAAATGTATAGATTATATAATATACCTATAATGTATAAATCATAGTATAGTATATTAACAGTGATTTTTTGGTATTGAGTTAAACTATAATTATAATAAGAGAACAGATAAAATAAAAATTTTGGAACCCCCCCCCTAAAAAATTCCTAGGTATGCTTCTGAAGAGGATTGTTAGAGAATGACAATCATTGGGATATATCTCTAAAAGAGGCTACAAAATCTACATCAGATCTGAAATTAAGAGAATTTTCCTCTAAATTAATAGAATTTAATAGAAAAATTTATATGGTGGATGATATTTTACACAAATTACAGGAACATAATTAATAAAAACTGTACATGATATTACTTATGTAGTACTTATGGAGATCAGGGGAAGTGCTTAAACAGCAAATAATCTTGAAAAAGGTTAATATGTATATTTAAAAATAAAAATATAAAAATTAAAAATAACTTATATAATATCATAAGATATTATGAAAATAAGAAAACCCAGTAAGTTTTATCTTATTTGTAAATTATTTTCTTTATACTAAATGCTTTAAATGTCTTTAACATTTTTTAATTGCATTCATTTTTATTTGTTTTACCAA